GAATTTATTTTTTATACAGTAGATATAACAAATTAGTGAACGACAAAAAGTTGCTCGCCTAATTGTTTAGAAGAAAGAATTGAAATTAGGACATATATTTTATATATAAGCTATTTACTACTGAGCAATGAATGCACTAAGTAGCAGAATCTATAATCATTTGTTATATGTATTTCATTTAAAAAAAAAAAAAATTAAGCTGATTTTTCTGTATACAGCAGTATACAGTTTTGGATATATTGAATAAGAAAGAAAAAGAAGTATAGACGTATTTGAAGCGAAATCATACCGATGTAAAAAAATTCGTTGAAATTTAGATGCAATTGAGAGGCAGCAAAACCGACTCATTCCTTTGCAGTGCACACCGATGTTGAATGAAATGGAACTGAAAAATAATTGGTACCCATAGCGACCAAGTGCTCAAATGTTGCTGAAGTGAATCCAGTCAAATGAACACTTCGGTTTCACTTAACCCAACAAGCAGGTATTTCAAAAGCAAAACTAAGAACTTTTTTGACGTTATTTCGTATTTTTACTTTTGCTTTTTCAACAATTCATTCTTAATTTCTGGTCAACTGCCGAAATCAACCATTATTTACACAAAAAAAACTGTATCCGAGCCGGTCGTAGAAAGTATTGCAATAAATTTTTGATTATACAACAGCAAGAAATTATATGTAATTATAACAGAATATTATTTTCCAATAACTTTTACATAGAATCAACTTTTTTTTTTGCCTTTTTTTGTTTTCCTCTAACTTCTTTTTTTTTTTTTTTTTTTGTTTATAATTCGAATAACTTTGTTCACATAAAAAACCTTTTGTTCAATTGCATAAGTTAAAAAATGAAAAAAAAAAAAAAACAGTGTTTTACAACAGTTCGCTGTAATTTTCAAAAATTTAGTCAAATTCATTATGGATATTTACAGGTTATTATTTCATCAAAAAAACCTTTCATTCTTTTCACATTTTAAGCACTCGTCATACGGCTACCGCATTATTGCCAAGCATCTGAATTTTAAGCTTCAACATTAATGAATTACAAATAGTCGCTAAATCTATGTTCATCACTGACAACAGAAATAGTGAATAAATATTTCAATATAAACCATTTATTTGCTTTTTACAGCAGAAAAACTATAATTATCACATGCTCTGATAGCTCTATTCAAACTAGATAAAGCAAATTTTACCGAATATAAGAACCATGTAATGGTTTTAGAAAGAATTTGGTGTTGAAGTGTTCGACAGTCAAATTATCGTTGCCTAATTCTTGTTTTTGGGTTACTAAAGTGTTCTGCTTGATTACCATCTTTTTTTTTTTTTTGTTCAGATTAATCTCTTTCTTCACTATTCAATCATTTTATTTCACTGTAAGTTGTTCATGTAACTGTTCATTGGAGATGGCGATAATAAATGAAAGTTTCTGCCTGTACAAATTTCACGACAACTCTGTGTCAGGTACGTATGTTAAAGGTGAAGGTGATAAATATTGTCAAAACCATGAGGAAACAACAGAATCTCATAAAAACCTTTTCATACTTTCAATTTTTTACATTTTCTTCTGTACAAAAAAAAAGAAAAGATGATGTTCTTTAAAAAGAAAAAAGCATAATATGACTAAAAATAAGTGGTTTTTTGTTGAAGACTTGGCACTTCAGTTTGCTGTGAAGGAGGAATAAGTATTGTCTGTAAACTTTGTTTACAGAAATACAGACATTTTAAAGTTTAATCAGTGTTTTGAGATTGACAAGTATTTTTTTTTTCGTTTATAATAAAAGACTTATATTTCTCCTATTTTATTATCAAACTTTGATGATAAAGCTTAAAATGTAGAAGTTATAAAAATGTAGTAATAAAGAGGCAGTCTTGCTATAAAGAATTTCACCCCAATTTAAAGTTGACACTG